AGCATGGTGGTCACAGTGACAGGTCACAGAACAGACAGGTGGAGACGCCCCCTGCCTAGGAGGTGAGGAGGGTCTGGAAAAGCTTTCTGGAGGTGACCTCCAAGGAAATGAATACACTCAAATGTTCAGTCCAGTGGGACAGACAAAGATAAAAAACAAACAAAACAAACAAAATACAGCAAAGATCCACGGAAGTTTACTCACAGGGGACCATGGTGGGTGGAGGGGTTCTCGAAAATGGAGCATATGCAAAACCTTCTTGATGTCTCTGGCCCCCCAACCAGTTGCTCCTCATCTCAGTAGCAATATCTCCATCCTCTAAGGCCCCTCTCCCCACCTGGACCTTTGAGGCCAAAGTTAGCTCCTCCTTTTGCCCCGCCCACAGCACCCAACCTGTCCCATGTCAACTGCATTCTCCCTGAGAAAAGTCTGTCTCACCTGTGTCCCTCCAGCTCTCAGTCACTGTCCTGGTTTATCCAAACAACCCCACCAGCCTCCTAACTGGCCTCCTCTGGCCTCCAAATTCTCTCAAAGAACTCCTGAAGTCCTTGAAGGCCAAGCCCAAGCTCTTAGCAACTCTACAATCTGAATCCAAATACATGATTTAAACATAGAGCTGGGGCTTGGCAGTGGCAGGTGTTAATACTGTCATTGAACCTGACACCATCGTGACATTCAGTCTGCTGTTAAAATCAGTCATGTAGGTGGTCCCCCTAGACTGTAAGTACCAGGAGGATGGGAGCCAGGCCTTGCTTTTCTTTGTTTTCTCCACCGGGCCTTGCACTCCACTCAGCACATAGTAGGTGCTCACTGAATGCATGTTGCATGAATGCATAGACATCTTATCCCCCAATTAGGGTGTGTCCTACTTGAGAGCAGGGAGAGTGTCTGTCTTGCTTGTCTCACTCATGTATACTTTCCAGGAACTTTGAATGATGCCTCGTGAAACAGTTGGTGCCCCTTAAATGCTTGGTGAAGGTATAAATGAGTGCATAGTGAATGAGGGCTGTCCTATCCCCCTACTGGGTTGCGAGCTCCTTAAAGGAAAGGACAATGACTTTCTCCTCTTTGTAGTGTCCAGTAATACCTGGCAGGCTGCTTGGTTGCCAATAATCGTCTCCCTGAAGAAGTATGGCCGTCCCTCTGTGGGATAAAAGCACTCACCTCTGCTCAGGTTCTGGGAACAGCTGGGCCAGGGAGACGCCACACAGGGCGGCGTAGGCGAAGCGGTGGGCCTCGGTCAGCTCCCGGCCCATGGGCAGGTGCGGCTCCCCCTCCGCAGCCGGCTTGGCTGCCTGAGGCAGCTTCTGGCTTGATCTGTCCTGTGTGGCCATTTCCAACTCTGTAGGGAAAAATCCCAGTGAAAAATGCTTCCAGCAGGTGGGCAAAGCTTACTTAGATGGGACACAGAAACTACCAGTCATGAAAGAAAAGCCGGATAAATGAGCCCTCTCTAACATTAAGAACTTCTATTCATCATCTTTAAGAGATCGGCAGGGTGGGGATGGGGGGAGATATCTGCAGTGTGTATATCAACAAAGGATTTGTATCCACAGTATAAAAACAACTCCTACAAGTCACTGAGAAAAAGAAACAAGGCACATTTAAAAATGGGCAAGAGACTTGAATAGGTACTTCACAAAAGATACTCAATGGCCAATAAGCACACGCAGAGGAGTTCAACAGCATTAGTCACCAGAGCAACAGAAATTAACATCCCAGTGAGACACGGCTACTCACCCAAGAGATTTCTAGCCTACTATCCGGACTCCACATTGATTTTGGTCCATAAATTCGTTCTCATCCAGCTAAGCAGTAAACATTTTTGTTCTCAAACTGTTATTTCTATGGAGGAGTAATTTAAAAGCTTGTCCATAACTAATATTGCATCAGCTTTAAAAAATAACCCTGGGGTAGTTAAGAAGCAACAAACCAACATCTGTACAGCACATAACAGTTTACAAAGCACTTTAAACCCATTTAATTCTTATAACTACCATGTAAGGTTAAGTAGGAGATGATTATGATTTGCTCTTATAGCTATAATCCTCAGAGAGACCAAGCCATTTTCTGAGAGTTACAAAGTATGTGGTTGAAAGTCAAACCAGACTTTGATTCCAAACCCCATGCTCCTTCCTCTACGCCAGCACAGGGATTCTCCTTCCTCTGTTTCAGATGGAGAAATTGAGGCCCAGAGAGGTTAAGACCTTGCCCAATGTCACCCAGCAAGACTGGCCTCTGATGGTTGCTCCAGGAATCCGAGTTTGAAATCTGTTTGCAGCAGATTTCCTGGCTTGAACAATCAGCCCAGACCATGGACAAAGGGGACAGAAAAAAGCCACAAGCTAAGGACATCACCGGGGGCAGCACCTGGCCTGGATGTCAGCAGGCTTAGCAATTACCACCACTTTCAATCAACTCCATGTGCCATTTGACGGCCACAGTAGTTGTACCTATTAGCCATAAGAGCCCAAGATGGTGTTTTATTCAGCTCGTATCTGGAGAGCCCCACGTGAGTTCTTGGTTCAAGAATAAACAGCCTTCTAATCAGAGAAGCATGAGCTGGCCTGCCTTTGACCGCAGGGGAGAGCGGGCTGGGCTGAGCACACTGAATGCCCAGCTCAGGCCAAATTCATTCATTCATTCAACAAAGTACACTTTTGCTGCCCTATAATCCATTCTCTACCCAGCAGCCCAAGTGGCCTTTTTGTCATATATACCAATCATGTCACTTGTCTGCTTAAAGGCCTCCCATCGCCCCAGGAGGAATGCCAGTCCTTTCCTAATAGCCTGGAGTCCTGCATGATCTGGCCCCTGCCTGCCTTCAATCACCTGACTTGTTCACTATGTAGCCACGCTGGTTGTCTTTCTGCTCTTCCAATACACACGCTGGTCCTCCCTCTGGGCCTTTGCACCTGCCATTCTCCCTGCTTGGGACACTTCCCTTGATTTTCACATTCAGTCTGAGTGTCACCTCCTCTGAGAGGCCTTCCTTGATCCCCTAGGCCACGCTACTTCCGCCTCTCTGTCCCAGCACCTTGTTCTGTTTCTACAATACTTACTCCTGCCTGAAATAATATGCTTTTTTGTTTTTGTTTTTTTTGCAGGGTGGCAGGTAACTAGGCTTATTTATTTTTAGAGGAGGTACAGAGGATTGAACCCCAGACCTCATGCATGCTAAGCATGGGCTCTTCCACTGAGCTACACCCTCTCCCCCTGAAATAATATGTTTTTAAATTACTTGTTTACTCAGGTGAACAAAGAGAATGTCAACTTGTCAAGGCAGGCCCCTGGTTTTTATTCTCACTGCTGTATCCCTAGCTTTCTGAACAGGCCCTGGAGTATTGCAGGCTTTCAATAACTACTCACTGGGTGAATGAAGAGGGGGTACATGACATATGGTGCCTTGTTCTGGGCCTTGGGGAAGATCAGGGGACAAGACTGACAAATCCCCTGCTCTCTAGGGCCTAACATTCTGGTTGGAGAGCAGGCAATATTATTCCAATGTATAATGATGTCAATGATTTAAGTAACTTGCCCAAGATCATATAGCTATTAAGTGGAACAGAGATTCTCACTCAGATGAGCTGGAGATAGGATCCAAGCCCTTAACAGGCCACTAAATAAATAAGTGAACATTGGGTTGGGAAGTGATCCTTGGGAAAGAACAATCAGGATGAAGGGGCTATGGAGTGGTCAGGTCGGAGGGGAGTGACAACAGTATGCAGATGAAAGGTGCCGTTCCAGCAGAGGCTGACAGGAAGTAAGAAGGACAGCCTGGTGGATGGATGGATGGGAGAGGGTTTTCCAGTAGAAGAAACAGGACAGTGGTAGAGATAGAGAAGTAAACAGACGACGACAAACTAGCAGGATAAATGCTGTGACAAGGGATACACAGAGGGGACCCTTTCTTCTGTAGAGCACAGGGAGCTATATTCAATATCTTGCAATAACCTTTAATGAAAAAGAATATGAAAATGAATACATGTATGTATATGCATGACTGGGACACTGTGCTGTACACCAGAAATTGACACATTGTAACTGACTGTACTTCAATTAAAGAAAAAAAAAGAACGGGAACTGGAACCCAGAATTGGCTTCTGGGAGGAGGTAGCGTCAGACAGGGGTAGGGCGAGTAGGAAGAGAATATTCTCGGCAGAGGGGACAGTATGTGTCTAGTCCTAGGGGGAGAAGAGAGACGATGCTTTTGAAGAACCAAAAAGATGCTCAGTGTAGCTGGGGACTGCACAGGGGTGGGAGGGAAGAAAGGAGTTTGGAAGGAAGCTGCCAGGGGCTACACCAAGTTCTTCCAGCTCCAGAGGTGGGGAGCTGAGTGAGGGTACACCAGACCCCTGGGTACTGTTTCTGCAACTGCCAGTGAATCTCTAATTGTTTTCAATTAAAAAATTAAAAAGAAAAAAGCAGTAGGATGTCTCTATAGATTCTGAAAATCTTTTCTTAAGTTCTAAGTAAAATCAAAATAAATCTGCACCTCCACTCCAGACCAGTCAGTTTGTTAATTTAATAAACAGGCACTGGCACCCGTAGGTGCAACGTCCTACATGCTGGGGACAGAGTGGTGACTAAGACAGATAGACAAGGGCCTCCCACTGTGGAGATGTATTCCAGGGGGGCAGACGGACTATAAGTCAACTCACAACATTTAAATTAAGATCATTTTACATATGATGAGGGTTCTGAAGAGACAGAAACCTTACATCACGCTTACCCAGATTTCAGGAAACAACTGCAGGCCTCCCTACTACCTTCTGCAAACAGGCTCTACAGCTTCTGGAAGGTTCTTTGGAGAAATATGCACCTGGCCCTGGAGGAGCAAACCAGAAAAACCAGCCCGTGGGCCCATAGGGTGTGGGATCCAGAGGCGGCCTGTGGGGGAGAGGGATGGGTTAGCCCAAGGCTAGGGCTGCCTTGCTCCAGCTTTCACTTGCTCCTGCTTCTCAGCCTTTGCCCCCACAGGTTCCCGAGCAGCCACCGTTTACTGAGAGCAGCCCTGGCGCTTTGCGTGGATTGTTCTAAGTCTTCGCACCCTGCGCTGTGGTTGCTGCACCAGCTCCTTGGCTGGCCTGGCAGGAGAGGGCAGGCACCGGATCTATATTCTGGGGTCCATCCCCTGACCTGCCGCAGCGTGAGTGCTCGGAGATGCCTGTGCCACGAACAAATGAATGAACTAGGTTTCAGGGTTACGCAAAAACTAGTTTTTCCTGGTTATTCTCTCTCGAAAAGCACTGCTATTCTTACACACTCATCGAGCATCAGATGAGGAAGGGAGCTGGGACAAGGGCCAGGTACCTGGAATTACCCAGGGAGGTCCCAGAGCCCCCAATCCAGGGACCACTCCCCACCCTACCACCACCAAACTTCAAATAATCTAAGCTTCATCCTAATGGCCATTTTCCATGTTCAAGGAACTAAAATATTTTCTGTTCTTCAAGCTCCGGTAAGGTTTTAAATAAATGATCAGTGGTAACACCGTTCTCCTGGATGTTACCTTTTTGTGAGGCAC